CAAAAACCTGCAGTGTCTTGTGTCTGGACCTCTAGGCCATGTCCGGTGGGGAAAATCACCCTGTTATTTTTCGAGGGGCGGCTAGGACCCGACAAACGTCCTGGGCCGCCCCATTTTTTTTTTTGATTTTTGCCCCAGGGGCCTCCATCCGGACATGGGGACCAGACACCGGACACCGGACACCGGACACCGGACACCGGACTGTCTGGAACCCGGTCCAGACGTCCGGGCGGTTTACCATGGTAAGAAGTCACCTCAAAAATTGTTGATTGGAGCCAGCATTTCAGAGTAATGAAGGTATGATCAGAGAGGTGTGTGAGGAAAGGTATGTGGGGAAGGTACAAATGAACGGTGTGGATGAACGGGGTGTGGTGTGTGTTCTATCATCTCGTGCATGAATCTGTTGTGTGGACCTAATTCTCGGTCATCTGCTGACAGTCTGCTCCTTCTGCCGCAGCGCTGTCGACGTTATAGTGTTCGTGATAGGGTATGGATGGGAGGTGAGCACCGACAAGTGTCTGTTCTATCATTTGAAGTATGGAAGCCGACAGCTGGCAAGGTGAGGACTGGCAAATGACATGTGTTCAATTATCAGACAAATTTTGCTGTGTGTATCTGCCATGGATCACAATTCTGTGTGTTCTGTTATCTGACAATTTTTTGCTGCATGGATCGCAATCCAGGTCAGGCATTCGATGGGAGGAGGGTGACATACATGGACAGGACACCTGATTTATCATCATGCGGTCTATGGCAGTCGGCTAGTGTCATGGTTCACTCAAGCACTCTGGTGGGGAAGGGAGGGTTGCGCTGGCCAGACATCTGGGCATTTCAGTGTCCAGCGTGTGTGTGTTCAACACTGTGTTGTCCTCCGGGACATCCATTAAAACTGGAACGATACACAGAAGACTAGCATGGCCCCTGCCGCAAGGATGACACATAAAATTAGAAATCATCCAAAAAGAAAAAACTTGAAAAAGTGTTGTGCAAGGAACCTGACTGTTCATCACTTGCTGGAGTGCATCAGATCACATGCATATGCACTGATTTCACAGATTGCAGAGTCTCACACAAAAACCCAATAGAAGATGAATGAGAACCAGGAAGCTCAACTCAATTATCAAACCCAGATTTAGAGAGAGAACATCATGAGTTCAAAGTGTGTAGCGCTGAACAGAGTTACAAGTCTCCTTCGATCAGCATGAGTTCCAGGCCTGGTGCTCATCAGCGCCAGCTACCAAATGTCAACAACAGCACTCAACAGGTAAGTGTCACCATAGCTCACACTTCCCCCTCTCTTGTCTGCCTTCTTCTCTCTATACCTCTATGTCTATAGTCCTGGTCTACCCTCATCCATCATGCATGCACACTCCCTATCACACGAGGATCTACTTAGAATACTACNTTCTCTCTATACCTCTATGTCTATAGTCCTGGTCTACCCTCATCCATCATGCATGCACACTCCCTATCACACGAGGATCTACTTAGAATACTACTCACTGGTATCTCCTACTGACTATCCCTACTAACATACTAACTAGCACTGGCGCAGCTATGGCTGCCTTCCCTCTAGACAGCACTCTCGTCCTCCTTTCCGCATAGCGCTGCTCTTCAGCCTAGCGCAGCTCACACACATCTGGCGCACAAGTGCCACGGCACTTCCACACTCTCATGCGAAGTGAGCATTTGCCCAAACGGGAGGCTGGCCAGTCCTTTATAGTGCTGCACTGGTCTGGCATGGCCTGCATTCAGCCTCAAATGTGTCTGGGACTCCCGCCCAGTACCGATTGTTGCAAAGTGTGTCCCCCAGTATCTTTTCCCATGGTCTGCTGCTGCTTTGGGCCATCGGGCCTGTCTTTTGAACTCCTGGTCTGAATCAGGACTGACTCGTGGGATTATGACTGGACTGGGACTGTAGCCTTTGACTCATTGCCGAACAGACATGTATTTTCATCGAGGAGACATGACCCTAACTCAGTCTTGAAAATTGTGTCCAATACCTGTTCGTTCAGGACCTGCTGTGACCTTTCAAAATGACTTGTCACTTCATTATGGATGTGACTTTTACCTCAGGGAACTTTGTCTTTTGAGTTGCTGCTCGTGAATTTAGTTCTGGCCGACAGGGCCCCTTGCTGTTGGGGCATCCATTTGGGTCTGATTCGTAAAGGCCCTTTTACTCTCTCCGGCCTAATTTCGAAGTCCTCTGAGAAAAGGTCTTACCTATCCACAATATTAATTCCTCTTCTTGCTCATTCATAAGCAGATACAATGTGTGGTGCTGAGTCAATTAGCTCTTCTCTACTAAACCAGCGGTCTTCACTTGGATCTTGATAGGCAAATTTGACTTTATATTGCCGCTGAGGTCTGCCTCTGCGTCCAGTCTGAATAGTACTTTCAGCAATGATCTTATCAACATCATGTTGCAGATGGAAGAAGAGAAAACGCCGGGCATAGATGGGTTTCCAAAGGAATTGTGGGAAACCTTTTGGACTCAGATGGCCACGGACCTCATGGAGTTTTATCTGCAGGTGTGGGAAACAGCGAGAATGGGAGAGCTGGTGGGAC